GAGTTACTTCGGGCGCTCGCTGGCTGCTGACAGGTCTAAGTCAGCAGCTGGCCTAGCGAGCAGGGTGAAGTCATTTTTCAAAAAATCCAGTGATCAATCACTCAGAACCTCGAACTCTGCCCTGGGGTTTGGGTAGACCTCGCTGTCACTCCACCCTGCTAGCGGCCCCAGGCTTGGCAGTTAGGGACCCCCTGGCTTCTGTCCTTTTTAGCACCTGGCCAGGAAGGCCTTTCTCCCTCCCCCTGGGTGGGCAGGAGACCCTGCTAAGCATGTCCCACCAGTCCTCTGCCTCTGCTGGCTTTGCTCATGGGGACGGCAGCCACCAGCTCACTAAGTGGACTGAGAGCTGACCCAGCCTGAGACAGAGACAGCCCCGCCTGTAGGTTTCCTCAGGGGTGGGGTGGGGTGGGGTGGGACAGCACTGAGCTACTCATTCTCTATTTGGTCAGAAAGGGGAAAGTTTGGAGTTTTTCTTTTTGTAACTTAAAGTTTATTTTGCTAATTGACATTTTAAAAAATTTTCTTTCTTTCTTCTTTTAGAGGTTGAACCTATGGCCTCCATTATGCCGGGCAACTCTGGATCATGGATCTTCATCCCTGGCCCTCTTTTTGGTGTTTCTATTTCTTTATTTAGAAGCAGGGTCTCATGTAGCTGAGGATGACTTTGAACTCCTGATACTTCTGCTTCTACCTCCCTAGTGCTAAAATTACAGGTGCAATAATACACCTGCTTCGTGCTTTACAGAGGGTGGAAGCCAAGACTCCATGCCAACTAGACAAGCAATCTACCGGGTTAGCTACCCCACCCCGCCCCCACTGCTCTCCAGGCCACCTACCTGCCCTTGAGTTTATAATCCTCCCTCTCAAATATCTGGGGTTCACCCCCAGCCAGCCTAGGATCAACATTTTCTTGCTAGAGGATGAATGATTTCTTCCTCCTCGAATTGCCTTTACACACTGATCCTGGGTCTCTAGTATGGGTGTTTAGAGTTGTAGGTGCAGGAGGCAATTGCTAGCTTGTTACAGGGGTGCATGGCCCCACAAGGCCAGCATCAGGGGGTTAAGCCCTACCTTTGTGGGGTGCTGACGGGGTCCAGATCCTTAGGTAAATTGTTTAGCCCCTTGGGGCCTTGGCATCCTTCTCTGTAAGATGGAGTTGGTGGCAGTCGGTTGAACTGATGTCCGTGAAGTTCGGACAGCAATGCTAGTTCATGGTAAGTTGCTTTATAAACACGAGTTCTTATTGTGGACCTCAGAGACAAGCTCCCAACATGACCACAGATGCCCCGGATGGAGGAGAGGTGGTGAGATGGGCCCCTGCTCAACAGTGCAGGTAGCCAGTCTCAGCTCACCTGTGACGCGAAGGCCAAGGTCAGAGTCCTGGACATTAAATCCAGCTGTCTTGTCGCTACGGACACCGGAGAACCACAGTGGGGCTCTGTGGGATTCACCCAGAAGGCTACCAAGCCAGATCTGGACTTCCCATCTGCTTGGGGGCAGAGGATGGAGAAGGGGGCACCGAGAGGCCCTGGCACTCAGGAAGAGGTTGGAGGTGACCCGAGCTAAAAGCAGCTGTGGCCGGTGTGTCCTGGCTTATCAGGACCCAGCTGTTGACAAGGGGAAGCAGTGGCCACATATGCTGAGTTAGTGACCCTGTGGCTGCAGGGGACGTGGGAAGTGTTGCCCAACTCTGTGAAAACGCCCTGAGACTGGGGCTGCATCCCTACTTGCTTAAAAACATTTGTTCACTTAGGGGAAGGAGGGTGTCATCTCCTTTCGCCAGATGTGTTCTGGACACTGAACTCAAGTCACGCTTTGGAGGCAACTGTCTTTACCTGCTGAGCCATCTCACTGGCCTGCCTTGATGACTCCTCCGCCCGCAGCCCCCCACCATGGGACCTTCTGCTAGAATGGGATGGGGTTTGGGGTCCTGGGTCTTGATTCACCCTGAAGCTAGAGTCTACATTTTGCCTGCCTTACTAAAGATGAGCGTCTTGCCTTCTGTTGGGAAACAAAAGACATTTCTCCACCAAGAGCCCATCCACTGGGTCTTCTGTAAGAGGCAAGAACTTCGGGGGGCCCAGCCTTGGTGAATTTTGCTGGACTGCAGTTCTGAAGGGTACTGGAGGGTGCTGCACCTCCTGAGGTGAACTCAACGGGTCAGGACTGGTAAGGGATGTGTCCCGCCATCTAGTGGCGGCCATTGGGATTGAAAGCTGCTGTGACCCTAAGAAGGTCATCCCAGGGCAGCTGCAAGCCAAGCTCTTGGCTGTGCCCTAGAGTTACCCACCCTGTTCCTATTGCAGCAGAAACCGAGACCTGCAGATACACATTTCAATTTTCATATGGAGATCCCAGTCCCTGCTTCTGAGTTCTTTATGGAAACGGAAATCCTGGAGGCCCCTTGGAGGGGACAGTGAGGAGATGTAGGGTGGCCACTGCTGAACATCTGACTACTGCCTTTGGTATCTTGAATAGCAAACTCTGGTCCATGTTTCTATGAAAGAGAATCCAGAGTTGTCTGTCTTCTCCCTCTCCCACGTCACCCGCAACGTAGATGCAGATCTTGCTGTGCAGTGGGGAGACTGAGGGTGTGCATGGGTGTGCATGGGTGTGTGGAGATAATGAATTGCTTGGGAGGAGTTGAAGGAAGGGGTGGGAATCCCTTTTTCTTTGGGTTTAAACTCAGAAGATGATGGGAGACTGATCTGGGGTACCTCAGTCAAGTGACTGAAATCCAATGTGAGTTGTGGGGAACTGTTATGGGCTGGGCCATATCCTCCTAATCTAGGTGTTGGTATCTTAACCCCAGCACCTAGGACTGTAACAGTACTTGGAGATTAAGTGAAAATGAGGATGTTGGTGTGTGTGTGTGGGGGGGGCGTCTAGTGCAATGTGACCTGTGTGTCTATAAACAGATGGTGTTATCATACATGTGAATACAAAGGAATAGCCATGAAGAACACAGGGAGGAGGTGGTCAACAACTGGCCAAGGAGAGAGGCCTCAGAAGGAGCCAGCCCTGGGCTGTGGGTGTAGCTTGTCTCCTGATAGTTCTATGGAAGTTTTGAGGTGGTCACACTGGCTTAGACAGGCTAGGGTTTCTAATCCACCAGGTGTGGGGCCAGTGTTTGCTGTTTTTTCCCAGCTCTCAAGATGAGTGAAACTAGGGACCAGTCCTCCCTCAGTTTCCAGGGATGGAGGTGGGTGCCTGGGACCCACTGTGGTTACTCAGCTGCGAGAATGAGGCCTTAACAGAAACAGCAATTCCCCGTTGCCTGCCGGCATCCTCCCAAGGCTTTAAATCACCCGTAGATGACTGACACCCGTCAACACTACTTGCTGCACAGATAGAACTCAAATATCAGACTGTTTAGGGAGTGCGGACAGGGCAATGGTCTACACGTTTGTTATGAATGCAGTTGTTTTTCTGTGTATTTCTGTCGTGCTGGGTTGAATTCTCCAGTGGCAGCCTGCTGATGTGGGGACTGGCTGTTCCATGAAGCCCTGAGTTGTTCTGATGTGATGGCAGGGGCTTTCCTCTTGACTGAAGATCCCTTCCCCTCCAGGCGGGAGTAAGACAGCCAGGCCCCAGGGGAGAGGAGCGAGCCTCAGTCCTGGCAGTTCACGGAGGTCCCAGGACAGAACTGAGGATGTGGGGACCCCTACCCAAAGACTCAGGGTGACCCTCAATGCCAATTCGATAGTAGTGCTGTGCTGATGTCTTGGGCCAGAAAATACTCCACCACCTTGACTCTCTAGCGTCCCTCCACACCCCAGATTTCTTCATTTTTTGTCTCTGTGGGGAAGGGCAATTATTTCTACCCAAGTTCCAGCTGTATGTTGGTCTGCCTATTTCATCCCCACAGTGATCTCGTCTGGTAGGGACTGCACTTCTCAACTGGGAAAATTGAGGCATAGGTGGTTTATATACATCCACTTGGGACCATTCCTAATGAAGAGAGCTCGGACCTTAATGTGAACTTTTTCCAGGTCTGAGCTCTACCCACAGGGCCACACAGCCCCTGTCTGCGACCACCTGGCCACGTAGATCTTTACAATACAATTCCCCAGAGCAGAAGAGATTTCATTATTGGCAAATCTGAAAGCTCGACCCACCCCCCTCCTACCCAGAAGACAATTGCTCTGTAAATGACAGGCTTAGAGGACAAAGACAGCCTATCAGCCCACGAGTGCCCAACACAGACAGAGTACATAAATGGTCTGATTCAGTAAAAGGTCCCGAACACCAACCTCACACCACACTCACAGCAAACCCATCTCATTAAAACGGAACAAAAACATGCCAGGTATGGTAGCACATGCCTGTAACCCCAGCACTGAGATAGCTAAGATAGGATTGTTGTCAATTTAGAGGCTAGCCTGGGCTATAGAATGAGTATCAGGTCAGCCTTGGCTAGACCAAGACCCTAACCCCAAAAGCAAACAAAACACTAGCAGAAGACAAACTGGATGCTTGGGGCACTTGCCTAGGGTCACCAGGTCCTCTGGAGCAGAGCCTGGTGGCAGCAGATAAAGCTTGTAACCAGGCTACCTCCTGTATCTTCTAGTTCTTTATCTCCTGCCCCTAAGCATCTGCTTCAGAGGGCACACACCACCTGACCTTAGTGTCAAGCCAGAAGCCTCTTGTCTGGGAGACGCAGACAGGATGAGCTGGGCTAGGCTGGTGGTTTCTGTCAGGGCCACTGAGAGTCCTGGGTAGAACTCACAGTCTAGCCCCATCTATGATGACAAGGTCTTGGCTGGGAAGGTCCCTCTGTCTGTTGTGACCTGGGCACCTGTGTGTGATCCCTGGACCCACAGCATTGCCTGGAAACTGTTGACTCTCAGACCTACCCATCTGTAGTGAGAGCGTCTACACTCTTAACCCTTCTGAGACCCTCAGCCTTTCTAATAAGCACCCCCATCAGTTTCAGGGGCTCCTAGTCTCCCTTCTCTGAGAAGATGCTGGGACAATAAAGGAGAAAGCCAACAAGAAAAGAGGGGTGGCCTCAGGCCGAGCATTTATTGTTACAGTGTTAGAATTCCTTGGGGAAGGTGTGGGACTCTGCCATTCATGGCTCATTTGCTTTACATTTACAAACCTTTCCTGGGTCAGGGACATTGTCACATCCACACTGGTGGCCTCTCCTAGAGTGAGACCCAGAAGTTGCCACCACCCAGGAGGCACCTTTCCCCACAGCTTGTGAATAGATCATTGGAATAAGAGGCTTTCTGGGAAGGGGTGTCATGGTCCCAGCAGGGCTGTCTCTCCCCCAGGCTCCTGCAGTGAACTCCAAAGTCACATCTGCCAAGACCCCACCCATCTTCATGACCACAGTTATTTTTTGGGGGGTTTGGGGTGTTCCTGATCTAAGTGCCCCATGCTGGCCAGGCTTAAGAGAAATCCCTTCTCTCCACTTCTGTATTTAGCAGCCACATGACAAGCTTCTGTATGGAAGAGTCAAGACAGAGAATCTGCTGGAAGTGACCGCTGGGTGTGGATGGAGACTGGCAGAGGCACCAGGGGCAGAAGCCCAGAGTCCACCGGGAAGGAGCCTTCTGATGCCATAGGACTCCCAGCCCTTAGGAAGAGGGTGTAACTAGACCTTCCCCTCCAAGGAGCCAGCATAACCGGCAACTCTTCCAGAGAGGTTGTTGATATATTCCTGGGCCCAGAGTCTCTGTCACCCTTTAGGGACACAGTTTGAGAGTGACAGTTGATCTCAGTTAGAAGAGGGCTTCCTTCTCCTTGCTGGGCTATGGGCTCAGTAGCTTCTGGATTCCAGGGGTGGGAATGCATATTATAAACACTCCGGGTGCAGGACCTGAGCAAAGCTGGGTTATAGATACCCCAGAGGTTCACCCTGCACATTCTGGCATCTGATGTGTGTTCATCGGAGGTTGACATGCAGACAGAAAGGGTCCTCCCAATCCCAAGACCTCTGGATTTGGATTGTGAGGAAGACTGTGCCCATGGGATCATTAACGAGAAGATGTCTTCAACACGGGGACCAGCAACTTTCAAGTTCATGGGCTGTGTGTGGTCCTCCTACAAGGGGACGCTCTTTATATATCGCTGTGGAAGGCTTTGGTGGCTCACAGGCTGCCCCCGCTGTCAGCTTTGGGAATCTGAACCTTGGACTCCTGGTGCAAATGTCCTCTGAGAGGCTTGGTGCAGAGTGACAGCGCACAGCTGTGTTCCAGTCTCCCTAGTGTCAGTAGGCAAAGTCTCTGCTCAGTCGGCTTGGGCCTGGCTGCTGCACCCAGGACTGCAGACTGTGGTGGCGGCCCTCCCAGGCCTTGCTGGGGGCTTGTTTTCAATATAAACACTCTGCACCCCCCCTTGCCTATTGACAGAGCGAACTTGTCCAGTGTCTGCAAATGTTGTGGATGAAAGTGACTAAGCACGCCTCCCCATCCCTTCCGGTTGTTTCCTGAGAGGTTCAAAGCCTGGGACCAAGGTTAGCGCATGTTAATCCTCACAGCTTCCCTGGGAGGAACCGGAAGTATTATAGGTAAGACACTGAGGCACTGAGAGGTGGGGCTACTGGGAGGAAGCCACACAGCAAAATAGTGGCCAATCAAGAAAGGGGCTGGCTGGGAGCTCCTTCCTTGGACAACCCAGCGACCCAGAGATTTGCACCTCTGTTAGGTCATGGGTGAGCACATCTGTCTCAGGTGACATCATGACAGAGGTTTGTTGGGTTAATGACAGGCACTCTCCCATTTTTGTGCCCATGCTTGGAATGGCTGTTTGGGACAGAGCTCAGTAACCCGCACCACCACACACACAAACACACACTCTTGAAGTCACATTCATTCTGGTGACAGGATGTCCGCATCCTTTGGGGCTGCTGCTGCCAGGCCCCTCTGACCCTGCAGAGATCCCCTCCTGCTCCCAACATGTCCACCTCATGATGTAGTGCCCTCAAAGTGGAAGGAATGCCCATGCTATTTTGCATCCTTCCAGAGCGAGTGACCAGGTGAGAGTTTACATCCTCTGCCCAGTGGGTGGAAGGGTGGCATTCACCACCTGGCCACTTCCGGCTGGCTTTGCAACTGGTTCTCAATACCCTTGGCTCTGCCAAGGCTGGTTTTTTTTTTGGGGGGGGCGGGTGGTTGGGTTCCTGCTCCTCCCAGCAGGGTGGAGCCCTGACACTCTTTCCCCTTCTTGGAAGTTCAGCGTAAAGTGCCAGGAGTACTGGGCTAGTTCCTTGAACCACAGCGCTGGGGCCACCTGCTGGGTCATGGCTGGGTGATGTGTCCTCAGGGCCTGTCTTCAGAGAAACAAGACACCTAGGTGGGCATTCTCTGTCCTTGGTGCCCACTGGAAATGGTGGCCGTCTCTGGGAATTCCGTCCTGGCACCACATCCGCCCTCAGCCCCAGGTCTCTCTGTACAGTTGGGGGTGGGCAGCCCCGGGCCACTGGGCTATTCCTCCCTTTGCTCTTCCAGAGTTGAGTCACACGGCTCTCTTACACGTTGGTGACCTCCAGGCTGTTGTATCCCTCCAAGCGACACTGTTCAGGCCTGCCTTGGAGGTCATCATCCGCACAGTCCTCATTCTCGAGAGAGCCATAGTCATCGTGAAAATCCGGTTCTTTGCTGCTGAAGCCCCTTCCTATCTTCCCCAGGGGCAGCTGAGGAGAGAGACACACACCAAAGGACAGAGGAAGAGAGAGATGAGAACTGCGCGGCGAGGCATCTCCGATCTAATTACTACGTGACCTTCAGCATCTCCCTGGACCTCTCTGGGCTCCTCCATTATTAGTACCATCCCTGCTGCCCAGACACATGGAAGGGATTTGGGGAATTTCCATGAGGAATCAACGTTTGAATTGCTAGCTAGAGATTCAAGTAGTTACC